TAAGCCTACAGCAAAAATTCCCGAACCTTACTACCCATTACTTAAAACAGTACAGGAAACACTGCAGCAATATAATTAACTTTAGAAAACTATATGTTTCTTGACGTTTAGGTATTGTTTTCGTGCAGTAAAAGTGTCTTCAGCTAATACTAAATGAGTGTAACGTACTTAATTAAGTCTTTGTCAATCCCTCTCCCGTCTTGTAACCTTGTCGTCCCCTTGTGGGATGCAATTTTTCTTTATTTGAAGCTCCACCCTGGCTTTTGCTGGCGCTCTGAATATAACTGGGCCACAATTATGGCCGTAACGACTGAAAGGGGTTTCTGGGACCTCTCTACGGGTGATCCTCATCCCCATGGTGGCACTTTGTGTCACCAGGTGTTTATCACTTGCGTGATGTCCTAGTGGGGTACACCAAGCAAATAACCCTCCCCCAACCCCTTCCCCCCCCCCCCCCCCCGTGGTCCGTTGTGGAACACAAAAGTTTTGAAAAAAGCTAGGACCCGAAGACAACTTATTAAACACCTCTTAAATAGATAAGTCATTCCCCCGCTCCCCCCTCCCCAGGAAGGAAATGCACGGCTCGCTAGCGTAGTTGGTTCAACCTAACTTCGCGGCGACCGGGTGACGAACTGCTTGTGGTCCTGGTGCACGCCCGGGGGTTGGCAAAAAAAACCACATTTCTCCCAGATTTACAGTATCGATCATGGAATCAAGGCCCAGAAATTGCCATATACATAGTACCCAGTCAAAGAATTAGCAACTCATGGTTTCTGGATATTTAAAAAAAAATGAGAAGGAAATTGGAACGCATTGGGTCCACTAGAAAAATATGTGGGAAAAGAGATTGAGAAACTTGACGCAAAAATGTTTTTGATAGCCTTTTGATAAATACTTTTGAAGATCTCAGGTTGTGGAAAGGTGTAAATGCTGTTCGGCAAGGCACTTGATTATGATAATGTGGAACATAACACTGTCATCATCCGTTTTAAAAAATTATGCCGTTTTAAAAAGTCATTAATCTGTCGGTGTAAATTGTTGAAATTTGGCATGCAACCTTATACGAAAAACAAATTATAGAAAACAAATATTATAATGTAAACATTAATTTTTTTTTTTAAACTAGTTTTTGTTTTGCCAAATTTGCTGTTTATAGAAAATAAAAAGAAAAAAAAAACAGACACTAATTTAAAGCATTCAATTAGCATATTTACAGTCAAGACAGCAACAAGAGCTTTTCAAAATATCAAATTACACTCGTTTTAGAGGCAATCGGTGCGAGAAAAGTGTGTTTCACTCTCTGGTGATCAATCTCCTGTAGTAGCCTCAAGTCAGTTAGATTAAAATAGTGTTTCATTAGGTGTGGGATATACTATCAAAAAAATCCCAAAGCATATATGTACATGTAAAATAAATAAAATTGGGTAAAGCTTGTCAATGGCTATCTATTCTATTTTTAGGGGTGGAAAAATTATTGGTCAGACAAAGATTAAAGAATGTCGCCACTTTAAGAAAATAGTAGCACCTGTGTTTTTGTAAATGATAAAATCATAAGGAAATGGGAAATCTAAGACTACATGCAAAAATTCATATCGAGCCACACGTGTGTTTTCGTGATTCTTGTGAAAGTTTTAGGGTAAAACTTTTGTAACGGACTATCGTTGCAAAGAATAAAAAGGTACTTGTAAAAAAAATAATTATGAGATGTTATAACACAACTATTTGATTGATGGAAATATAAACATTAGAAGGTAGCTGTCAGTTGGACATAGTTTTATGTTTGTGAGTGTGTGTACATATATGTTTATGCGTGTGTGTGTGTGTGTGTGTGTGTGTGTGTGTGTGTGTTTACCTCTTTCGAGACAAACAATCATTTAGATGTCAGTATCTTTGCAGAGAAGTATCACCCCAACAAAGCCTGAACAAGCCTTAAAAGCATTTCTTTAAATGACAGACAATGTAACATTTCCTAAACATAAGTTTAGCAGAAGTCAAACCTGATTAATCTCAACCCGGTCCAAGTAGCTAAAAGGGGACATCAAAGAAATATTTTTTTTTTTTTTAAAGAGAAACAAATCAGACTTGCAGATTCCCGAAGTTTTACCGTACAAGGACTCATCTTCCAAACACTGACATCTCCTCCTTCTCTTTCCTTCTGAGTACAATCATAGCAGGCACTTTAGTCTTCTTATGAAGGTAAAGTGGGGTTCAATTTTATCATCATCATCCTCAACAACAACATCATCAAATGCCTTGTCAACTGGCGTAATCGATTTTTATCGCCACAAATCTCGGTCTCGGTGTTCTGGATCAATTCTACTGATTATATTCCTTCATGCCACTATATTAAGCCATCCACCATTATTTCTCTTGGTCTGCCTCTGCCTCTTCTACCAGTGATCTTTCCAGTCGTCACCATATTTTCCAGTGCTTCTTTTCTCATCACATGACCCAAAAATGTCTCCTTCTCATTGTTGATTCTATTTTCGTTAGCCATTTTCAGGCAATCATTGTTAGTTATTCTGGCACTGTTTTGTCAGAAGTGAACAATGGAGCTGGCTCAAGGAATTGGAGGAGTTACCAGGTGATAGGTTACTCATATGTGGGGATTTCAACGCGAGGAACAGAGAATGGGACAGCAGTGGAGAAAACCGACAGTTAATTGCTCTTGCAGAGGCCATGGTTGACTCCGATAATGGTCTGCATCAATGATGGGAGGCCGACTAGAATGACAATGAGGTCTGGAGATGCAGACACAGCCATTGACTTGACATTTGTCTCTCAGTCGTCGGTTTTAGGTGTTAAATGGACTGTCCTGAATTACCATGGGAGTGATCACCTACCATGTTCAGTCTTGATTTCTAAACTTAGTAAGGTTAAGGTTGGGAGAGTACGCAAGACCTTCCAGTATAAGTGGACCAACAACCTACTAGGACGCCTCAGACGGGGAGCATGCAAAAGAACTGCCAGAACTAATTTTCTACAGCCCCCATGGTGGACTCCAGAAGTAGAACAGGCGTGGGAGGCAAAGAGAGCCGCAGTGAAGCAGCTAAAGAAAGTACGACAGACACCCTCAAGCTCACGAGAGGAAGTGGAGATGGCGGAGAATGTGAAAAAAGATAAGGTGGAGGTTTTCAAGCGCTGTGCTGCAGAGGCCAAAAGAGCAAAGTGGGAAACTTTTGTGAATGCTATGGGAGGCGATAAAACATTAGGGAAATTCTGGAAACTGCAAGGGCAGATGCAAAGAAAAGATCGGCCTATGACAGTCGGAAAATTTTGTAGAGACGATGGTGTGCGTGTGACAACAGACAAGGAGAAACGGGAGGCTTTTCTCAATAGGTTTATAGCTCAGACAGATCATAATGATGTAGACATCAGGGATGCAGTTAGAAAGGAGTTAGCTGGCACCTTGAAGAATATGCAATATGAAGACATGATACAAGTGGAAGATATCAAACAAATTTTGGAAAAAAAAGCAAAAGACACTGCACCAGGGCCTGATGGTGTCAGGTATGGTCACATGAAGGCTTTGAGCGATGTAGACCTGGCAGAGATGGCCGACTGTTTTAGCCAGAGTATTAAGACAGCATCAGTACCGCAGGACTGGGTGCACAGCTATCTAATCCCTCTACCAAAACCTTTTAAAAGATCATTCAAAGCTTAGTGGCTTTAGAATCATCACCTTACAAAACACATTTGGGAAGGTCTTGGAGAAGATAGTTGCTGTAAAGTTACAAGAATTTTTGGAAAGGGGCAAGCTTCTCCCAAGATGTCTGGGAAGTTACAGGCCAGGAAAGGACACTTGGGCAAATGCGGCCACTTTTGCTTTTGACGTCTATGAAGGGTTCCAGAACAGACAGGAAACTATGGCGGTAGGACTGGATCTCGAGGATGCTTAAAACAGAGTGAGATACGACATCTTAATGACTGCACTGAGGGAGAAGGAGGTCAATCCATGGCTGGTGAACTGGGTTGCAGCTGTCCTGCATTCACGTCGGGTTGCTCTTCGACTGGGCATATGGACCTCTGAACCATGCATTTTGGCCCCAGGACTGCCACAGGGATCCGCCATCTCGCCTGTGCTCTTCAACGTGTATACGAGCAAGAATCCAAGCCTAGAAGCACCAGGAGTTGGAAGGATACTGACTTTTGCGGATGATATTCTTGCTTATAGGCAGGGGGAAGAGAGGGAGCAAACAGCCCGGGAGCTACAAGCAACAGTAGACAAAGTGACTGAGTGGTGTACAGAAATTAGTGCTGTCGTCCACCCGGAAAAGGCATCTATTTTGTGGTGTTCTCTGGACAAGTAGTGTACAATATGCCCATAGTAATGTGGTGTTTTTTTTCTTTTCTGTTTTTTTTTTTTTTTTTTTTTTAATGGGAACAGATTAATCATTCTCACTTTATTTTCTATTAGTATATAGTGTGTATGGGTACGCCCAGAGTTCTGTGATTTTAATTCTTGACTGAACTCAACTCAAATTCTTTTTAGAATATTCGTTTGCTACTCGGTATACGTCCAAGGGTCAGAACCTGATTAAGTACGTATACCGAGGTACCACTGTAAATAAACCGCCCAAATGTTTGGGACTGAAAGAGTTAAATCCTGATTAAAGGATCGTTGTTCACGCTCTTAGGCATATTGGGTATGAAGAGCAAGACGTATTTTATATACCAATCTGCACTCTTTGGATGACGTGATCAATCTCACGCCGGTCGCCGTTACTTCCCAGGACTTCACACCTGGCACCAAATGAGGCTGGGTAGAACGCGGAGCCAAGGTCATTGTTTGGTGGAAGAAAAAACCCAGTCGCGATTGGATTTGAACCATCGGATCTGTAGGCGAGTGTCCCGCGACTACACCATGACGGTTTGGTGGATATGTTTTGCGGACATACATATATACATTAATTTTACAAATATCTATAAACAGTCGGCACTCAAACAATTTTTGATTTCAAATCAAACTCCGTCTGCAGTCACATTACCTGCGGTTTAAT